TGTAGAGAAGATGCAGATGGTACATTCCTCAGAATCGCTGATAACTCTGTAGAATATTATATATTAGGGTAATTGTACCACCTCACAAATATACACATATGTGCTATTGGTATTACCAATTTTAAGTAATTAAAAATTATGATTTTAGATTAATGTGCATAACAAACGTAATGAAAATCCAACTAGTCTTTCTTGACTTATAACATACATATAGACAGATGTCATTGGAATGATCTTCATTGCAGATGATGACATTATTAGAGTCCTTGGTGTGCAGACGATTATGGGGAATGGTATCTTCCGCTTTACGCCTTTTTGCATCTGTCATGTTAGTATTACCAATTGTAGAAAATTACATGATTAGAAAGTTCGAAGTATACTGAAATTCCAAAGGTGTTCTTCACAGCTCATTGCAGGCAATGACATCAGCAGAGCGACCAAATGCAACAGTGATATCAATGGCTATAGTGGTATCTAAAGTCATTTTTGGATTACATTATGACAACTTGATTTGAGGTAGTGGTTGCAAAAAATGCAGTCTTATGTGATTGTTGGACGTGCAATCCAACAATGAGATCTCGTTAACATTGTTCCAACCATTATGGTGGAAACACAGGAATGTCGAAGCCTAGTGGGCAAGGCATGGAAAAGGAGGCCCATGGGGGCAGCAATTGCTGGGGGTTTCTCCATGGTGTGTGGCCTCTGGAGGCTACCGTGAGAGGTTGACAGATGGTACATGCCTGCATTCAGGACCAACAGCCCTTTCTGGTACACTTTTCCTCAGTCTTCATACAGCTGTGTATTCATTTAATAATTGTAATTATTGAAATTAAAATTTATGAAAGTGTACATTTCCTTATGGCAGATAGTACTGTAGGCAACAAAAAGATATCCAAGATTGCTGAAAGTTTATTAAAGTGAGAATTAGCTATTGATGTGTGACTTTAACACTAGTACAGGTTGTGTTGTAGCCAGACTTGGGATAGGATGTCTAGCCCTAAGTGACAGAGATATCAGTTCTTAGTATAGGCGTACCTTGTCTGTTGTAGCTAGACTCTGACCTGTATGTAAAAATACCTTCATTCACAGTTTTGTGTGTGGAGAACCTTCAGTTCTCAGCACAGATTGTTTGTTGCAACTAGGTTTCTGATTCTGGATACATATAAACCTTAATTGATCTTGTTCCCTTACCCCTGTGATACACACATGGTATCTACCTCCAACAGATGAACTATAGAGCTATTTATAAATGATATTAATTTTTGTTAACTAACTTCACAGAGCTTGATTCTTAGTCACGTAGCTATTCAAGAAATTCCCTACTTTTTATGGAATTTGTATTACAAGAGCTCATCACTTTTAACTGTCCTGAGCCAGCTGGATCCTGTCCACATCATCACTAACTGTGTGTTACAGCTGCAAAAGGCATTGTACCCTCAGCATCTCCAGACTACAGACCCATATTAAGGCATACTGTGAGCTACATTGTTGTAGGAGCTCTTATTAATAGTGATGGAGAGGTGTTAATGATGCAGGAGGCCAAAAGTTCATGTGCTGGGAAGTGGTATCTACCTGCTGGTCATGTTGAGCCTGGTGAAAACTTACTGGTATGTTACAAAGTAATTAATCTTAGTACTTGAAATGTATATCAATATTTTTAGAGTCTTACGTTTTTTAGCAAAAAAGAATGGAACTGATGGAAATTATATATTTTGTGCTGTGATAATGTTTATTTAATCAGTAACTCATAGTTAATAAAAATTAAG